GTTGTTTCCTTGCCGTGTTTCCTGAACTGCACGATGATTCTGTTGACTGTTGCAGCACAAGATAATTAGTGTGCGGACCATTTTCATTTATATAATGCTCTGTGAACACAAATTAGTTAGCATAAATCAGTTAAATGACGAAAAATTAGGTGTCTATTACTTGTGATCACTCAGTGTATATTTGTAAATATATTCATCACGGAGATAACCAAACAAACTTTCAGAAGCTTAGAATTCCACCTGCTTTAGTGTTGTATTATGACGATAGATAGAGCTACGTTACAACAACACTTCTCGTTATTTAGTACGATTTATTTCTAATATTAGAAATAATGCAAAATATTATAAAAAGCACCAAGATATGGCAGCACACACAATATTTAAAATTCTTGTTGCCATCTTGAATTAGTCGAATATTATCCACTGACAAATAGAATGCTTCCTGTTGCGATATAACATGACAGCCACGTGTTTTACGATTCGTATTATGAAATGGCGACATAAACTAAAAGAAATGCTATAGCCGAAAGCGTGTATAACTTATATGCGAGTACTACTTCGTAAACACTACACAAAAAAAATAAAAGTCTCATTTGATATTAAAAAATAGCTCTGTTTTATAGTGCCGATTAATTGTCTCTCAATCACTGGGAACAAATAGATAAGAGCAATTATACAATGCGTGTAATTATTTCACATGCACACACGACGGTTTCATTACTTTTTAAAGTTTATCAATAAACATATTTTTACAGTATTTATTTTTGAACATTCTCGAAAAAGTACGTTTATTGTCAATATGCTCTCCCATTGATTACTAATTTAAGGTTCCTGGTAGGTTTACAGACTTACAACGTTAAAATCCGAGGTTTGATTTCCCGAGGTCCAGATAGCTCCTTGTTTAGCTTTGCTATGAAAAATTAAGAATAGCAATAACATTATTGTCTCCCGGCAGTTCAGCAGTAAGTTTACGGACTTACAATGATAAAATCCAGGGTTCGGTTCCCCAAGGCGGCCAGAGTATAGAAAGCTCATTGTGTACCTTTACATCAAGAAAATAACAATAATTAATTTTAGCTTTCATACTTCTCATTTTAATTAGTTACATATTCTTTCAGGATACGAATAACTACTATTGTGATTCTGTTCTAAAAAAGTTATTTTGTGACTTTAACTGTTTTGAAAGTGTAAGAGATATCTAACTATACATGTTTAAATTGTGTGTTAGGTAGCTGGAGAGATAGACAGACAGGCAGTTTGGGACTAATTTTTGTATAATTAGTCCTAAAAACTGTTATACGGAAACTAGGAATAAAAATTTGTATTTCATTGATTTTCATAGCGAAGAGAAGATTACGAGACAACGACGATGTTATATCACAGCTATTTATTACTCAGTTGTACACAAGTTACTTAGAAAGCTAGAATTTGTACACATGTAAACCACGACCAACGTTGACAACTTGACACAAATTTACAGAACTTTGACTTCGTACAAAATGTAAGCTGTTAACTTTACGTTAAAGAACTGTGAAAGAGCAAACACTCTTCAGATTTGTAGAATCACTGACAAACGTTGTACTGGGTGTTAAGTTTTCTGCACTGCCTTTTCTATATTGTCATAATACAATAAAAAACAACCTGAATTATGTTGTTATAATCCGCTTTTAGTTTCACACTATGCTATTTAATTATATAATTCGTCAACAGTTTCACTGGTTGAGATCAGGTGAGCCTAGGTCTTTTAAACAATGACTGTTCAAAGTGGTTTTCAATATTTTTTTCTTTGGTGAATCAACCACATATAATTTGATATTTACTAAACACAATACCAGTTCCAATAAATGTGTACGTCAAAGCCTGTACAAACATATAAAGGCTTTACAGTTAAATTATGCAAACTTAAAGCTATTTAAAGTCAGTTTACTTATTAACATTACATTTTTTGTAGTTATATGTGATTAAATGATTAGTATTTGTTGAACATTTTTTACAACTTCTTCAAACACTGTCCTCCGATGGAACAGCGGTAAGTTTACGAACTTACAAAGCAGAAATTCGGGACTTGATTCTCCACGGTGGACAAAGTGCAGAGCGCCCAATGTATCCTTTTGTACTAAGAAAAACAACAACCTTAAATACTTGGGCGACACCTACCGCCCTGTAGTATAAGTATTCACTAAAACTTTTCACTCATTTGTATTACAGACAGCTTCCTCAACTACTTGAGAGACACCTACTACCCTGTAATGAAATTATTCGTTTAAACTTTTCTCGCATTTTAATGTTTTACAGCTTCTTCAAACACTTGAGATACACCTATCGCCCTGTAGTGAAATTATTCGTTAAAAATCGTTTCGTATTTTAATGTTTTACTGCTTCTTCAAACACTTGAGAGACATCTATCGCCCTGTAGTGAAATTATTCGTTAAAACTCTTCTCGTATTTTAATGTTTTACAGCTTCTTCAAACACTTGAGAGACACCTATCGCCCTGTAGTGAAATTATTCGTTAAAACTCTTCTCGTATTTTAATGTTTTACAGCTTCTTCAAACACTTGCGAGACACCTATTGCCCTGTAGTGAAATTATTCGTTAAAACTCTTCTCGTATTTTAATGTTTTACAGCTTCTTCAAACACTTGCGAGACACCTATTGCCCTATAGTGAAATTATCCATTAAAACCATTCTTGCATATTTATTTTCTACAGCTTCCTCAAACACGCGTGTGGCCTAGAAATTGGCGTGCCGGACTATGAATCTGAGGGTCCAGAGCTCGCGTTCCGTTGCCGCAAAATCACTCACTGGCATTTGGGGGCGTAGTTGCGTTATAAGATTGACGATCGAAATCCATTATTCTATCAAAGTGACCCATGAGTTGGCGTGGGTGCCGTTGACTAGCTGCCTTTCCCCTAGTCTATTAGTCCGAAATGAAGGATGGTTAGTGTAGGTAGCTCTTGTGTAGCTTTGTGCGAACATTCAAAATAAACAAACAAACAAATACTTTGGCGACACCTACCGCCCTGTAGTCTCGATTTTTTCCGAAATATCTTCTTTCGTAACTTTAAATGTCTGTTTTTCTTTTTTAACTGGTGTTATATGTAATCATCCTATTTAATTAAATATTTTCGTAATTGATGATACTTTTCTTTAATTATTTAATATTTAGAAAAATTGTAAGCATTGATACCCGTGGCTTTGTTCTTAATTGTAAATAAACAAATCTAAATGTATATCTGCTGGTGATTGCTAATACTTTTTATGGCCATTTTAAAATATTTTTGCTTCTTAAAGTGTTTCTCGAATGCACGTATAGGAGACGAGAAAAGCTTCTAAGCTTTTGTCCTTTTAGGAATTCCACAATTTTCAAACGTTATAATAACGGAAAACATATAAGTGTAGTTCTCTTTTTCTCTCTCATTGTTTTTTACAGATTTCTAAATTTGCTTGTAATTGATTGCGTTTTTTAAAAGGAAGGCAATATTTTCTAGCAAACAAAATGGTCAGCATTGTTTCCAAAAAACAAAATTGCCAGCATTGTTTTCTAACAAACAAAATGGCTAGTATTGTTTCCAAAAAACAAAATGGCTAGCATTGTTTCCAAAAAACAAAATGGCTAGCATTGTTTCCAAAAAACAAAATTGCCAGCATTGTTTTCTAACAAACAAAATGGCTGGCATTGTTTTCTAACAAACAAAATGGGTAGCATTGTTTTCTAACAAACAAAATTGCCAGCATTGTTTTCTAACAAACAAAATGGCTAGCATTGTTTTCTAACAAACAAAATGGCTAGCATTGTTTTCTAACAAACAAAATGGCTAGCATTGTTTTCTAACAAATAAAATGGCTAGCATTGTTGTCCTATAATCTTATTAGAACAAGACATCGAACTGGCCCAAAGTTATGTGCACAATAACTAGTTTGTGTTTCGTGTTGTTAACAGTTTCTCATATCTAATGGAAATATACTAGCTCCCCCTAGCGTACTTCATCATTTAAATGTTTTATGTGTACTTGTATGTAAATCCACTTCTCTCTAAATGTCGGTTTTCGTGTGAATAAAGACGATAAAAACCTGGTTATCCACCAGCCACTTGCTGCCTAAAAGTTACGAAGAAGCCATGTATAGCACGTGGAAACAAGATGACGCAAAGAGCCATAACACGTCTGTCTCGCATCAATCACTGGAGAAAGTTGAAATAGTTATTGGATAATAAGAAAGTGTCACAGTCACTGGAAATCATCGATATAGAAAATAGTGTATCACAGTCACAGAGACATGTCAGTGTAGATGAAAAGTACACCACGGTCACTGAGACACGTCACTATTGAGAAGGAGTGTGTCACAGTCACTGGAAATCATCGACATAGAAAATAGTGTATCACAGTCACAGAGACATGTCGGTGTAGATTAAAAGTACACCACGGTCACTGAGACACGTCACTATTGAGAAGGAGTGTGTCATAGTCACTGGAAAGCGTCGTAAAAATGAAAAGTGTCACAATCACTAAATCGTGTTGGAATGGAGAAACGTATGTCACTGTCTTTGGGAGACGTTTACCCAGAGAAAAAGTGTGTCGCAGTCACGGGATTGCGTCGATATAAGGAAAAAGGTGTAGCAGCTACTTTGGCAGCAAGCTTCATTATTAAAAAAAACGTGTGTCATAGCCAGTGAAACGATCCAGTATAGAGAAAATTGTGTCACAGCCGGTGAAATAAGCCGGTATAGAGAAAATTGTGTCACGGCCAGTATAGAGAAACAAATGTATTCTAGTCAGGAACTATCTCGAGGCTACGATTACACTTTAACCCATATAACAGCTGCGTTACAGCTGGAACAAACAGATTCCCAAGCATTGCTATATATCTAGGAGTGTCCTACGTCACTTTCTTGCCCAATTATTAAGTTATTTATGGGAAAACTTATTTTAGAAAAAATATCGAATTGGCTTTAATGCAGTATGTGTCACTGCTTTACGAAATGTATCACGTACAACAAGTGAGATAGAGCTGTGACAAACGACGCGACACGCAGAGCAAGATTCACGATTCTATGGTGTGTGACGCAATTACTGTGTCAGCAGTTACATGAATAGTAGCTGTAACTGGGGCACATTTAGCAACCGAGGTACAGGTATAACAAACTGCATGAGTTACAGTACTTGAGTCACGGATTTCAGAATCCTAGCCGCACATCTCAATACCTGAAACTTGACTGTAATATTTAAATTCTGTCACAACTTGTGATACCTGCTTGTAAGAAACTGTGTGACCACAGCCACGATAGACGGCTGAGAGAGACTGAATACCAGCCCCTTGAAACAATGCCGTAGCTATAGCAACCATCTTAGGACAACACTTAGCAACAAGATGCAGGACGGTCCCTACAGGGGATGTTGGCTTCGGGATGACAAAAGCGGTAATAAAGCTGCATGAAAATGATGCCCAAACTGAAACCGACAAAGTCGCCGACTAGAGCAGGCAGGTGGTACCACAGATTTTGGTCAGTTCGGAGGTACCACAAGACAATCATCGACGCGTTCTCTAGGAAAACGATGACGTAGTAGGCCAGATACTTGAGACGAGTGGGCTCGTCCTTCACGTTCAAAAAACAAAACAGGTAGACCGCTCCAATCACCATATTGAACAGGTACTCTTCACACTGGCGCTTCTTTCCAGTTTCCGTATCACAGAAGCTGGTTTGTTGGTGCATCACCCACACCGTCATGACACCCCAGTGCCCGATGCACACTGGGAACATCCAGTACCCGTATTCCGAAGCAAAGAGCGCCAAGGACAAGACCCTGGCTGCAATGGTGCAATACCGCCACAGAAACTGAATAATTGTGCCGCCCCAGGTCATGTTCCGCTTGTCCTGCACTGACCGTCGTAGAGCCCGGTGGTACGACGCCAAGGACCAGGACAGTTCGAATAGTGACGACGCCACGGACGCCATTTGGATGCTGACTGTGGAGAGAAACAACAATAACAACAAAAAAATATTAGCATTATTTCTTGGTAACTAGGTTTGGATTATTTCTGGGTAAATTGATTTAGATTATTTCTTGGTAACTAGGTTTAGATTATTTCTTGATAAATATATTAGGATTATTTCTGGGTAGATATATTAAGAATATTTCTTGGTAACTAGGTTCGGATTATTTCTGGGTAAATTGATTTAGATTATTTCTTGGTAACTAGGTTTAGATTATTTCTTGATAAATATATTAGGATTATTTCTGGGTAGATATATTAGGAATATTTCTTGGTAACTAGGTTCGGATTATTTCTGGGTAAATTGATTTAGATTATTTCTTGGTAGATATATTAGGATTACTTCTAGGTAAACTGTAATTATAAGTAGCAACGTAGTAGTTAGTATTATGTTAGTTGTCCTCGTAGTGGCATATTTATGAACTAAACAATAATATCAGTTTGTCTTTAAATGACTGCTATTAATAACTCGGGTTCTCATTCAAACAAAGTTAATGTGTTATATATATAATTAGCTTCATTTCTTTAGTTATTTTTTACATCTGATATATTTGGTTAGCTGGCTTTAATAAGAAATTATTGATAATAGCTTTTAATTTATCTGTTGGCGTTTAGTGAATGGTTTGTTTTGTTTTGAATTTCGCCCAAAATTACACGAGGGCTATCTGCCCTAGCCATCCCTAATTTATTAATTATAGACTAGAGAGAGGGCAGCTACTCAACGTCACCCACCGAATAACTCTTGGACTACTCTTTTACTAGTGAATAGTGAGATTAACAGTGATATTATAACGCCCCTACGGCTGAAAGGGCGAACATTTTCGGTGACGAGGATTCGAACCCGCGACCCGCAAATTGCGAGTCAAGCACCCTCTAACAACCACGCCATTTAATAAATGTTTTTGTAAATAAGTTAGATAATATTTCAATCCTCCTGTTGGTGACATTTATTTTTAGGTGAGATAATGTTGTTATATTTACATTAATATTAATGTCTGTACTAGTATACAGAAGCTACAAATATGTTCAATGTGTTATAACTGCAGCATTCTGTTTCGTTAGTATTGCCAAGTGTACACAAAAAATGGAGACATTTGTGGCCATTAACACAGAGTACATTACTTGTGTATATATGGAAGCTAATATAATAGTAAATTAAGTGGTTTTATGTTGGGGAACATACTATATGTTTTGACCGAACGTTGAAGACGACAGATCAATGTTATGTTGACACATGTACTATGCCCCACCCCCCAAGCCTCCCAGTAGCACAGCGGTATATCCACAGACTTACAACACTAGAATCCGGGTTCTGATACCCAAGATGGGCAGAGCGAGCACAGATAGCCCATTGTGTTGCTTGGTGCTTAACTTCAAACAAACAAACAAACAAACGAAACCCCACCACCCCCCAATCACTTCATTATGTTTATAAATCATTGTTTGTCAATTTACTATCACTGAAATCGTTGTTTTACATTTCTGACACTAACCTGTCCAGAGGTCTTGGGGGACCATTCCCCTCTCTGCCAAAATGTAAATTTGGAGAACTAGCTGAGGCGCAGACTCCATGAAGCTCTCAAAAAGCGACAGGAGGGCTGTATCCCTATCTTCTTGAATTGCTAGTTGGTAGTAGTCGACATTGTCGTCAGTTGTATTTGCCGGAGTCCTCCGAAACGTCAGGTCCCACTCTCTTGCTCTCCGCTGCTTTTGTCTGCGGTCTCTTCTGCTTCGAAGCCCGTAGATCATGAGTTCAATGTATCTAGAAATACAACGTTACGAAATCATGGTTAAGTGATGTTTCAGATCTTACAATGAAAGCGGTAAGTTCACGAACTTACGATGCTAAAATTCGGGGTTCGATTTTCCGCGCTAGATAGAGTGCGGACAACCTACTGTGTTGACTGTGTTAAAAACAAATAAACCAAAGTGAGCAAACTGACAATGCAAGGTTACATTCTAGTAAGTCTAGAGTCTATTTCGATGACGAGGAACCCACTTTGAGACTAATAATGGCTGGAGACGGCTTGAATGGGTAATGAAGAAAAACTTTAATATAAGTTTAATGATGATGATAAAACATTGTCGAAACGCTGCACATTTGCCGTTATGTTAAACTTATATTAACGTTTTTCTTCATTACCCATTCAAGCCGTCTCCAGCCATTACTAGAGTCTATTTGTTTGTTTATTTTGAATTTCGCGCAAAGCTACACGAGGGTTATCTTCGCTAGCAGTGACAGACTAGAGGGAAGAAGGGCATGACATGGCCTGGTGGCTAGAGCACTCGATTCGCAATCTGAGGGTCGCGAGTTCGAATACCCGTCGCCGAATATGTTCGTCTTATATGTTTGCTGTCTGGGCCAGCCACCCAGGGGGTAAAAATTATTGGCTTAGAAAACTACTGGCCGACCCCAAATTAGGTGGGATTAAAGTTGTTACGAAGAAGAAGAAAAAACTAGAAGGAAGGCAGCTTGTGAGGTTGCAAATTCTATCTTTTTTATGATTATGGTTGTGTTTATCGTTTATTTATTACTTCCTTCTATCGTTTACTTTATCTATGAATTTTTAGTTGCATTAAAACGCTAACTCACCTTCTAGCTAATCATTAGTATTTTGAGTAAAAATTTACGTATGATGAAACTGACATCACCTTCCCTAGTGGCAATTTACAGGTACTATTAATTTACTAGAAGATTATGTAAATATATGATCACATGAGTTTGTATTCTCGTGACCTATTCAGTGAATAAATACCCTAAGAGAGAGAGAGAGAGAGTCACCAGATAATTAGTGAATTATTACTGTTTATCACTCGATATTGTTATTAACCTGAGAATAAATGGGTG